TGTGATCATTCATTGAAACTTTAACTCTTATTCGAATAAAGTCGCTTTAGTTTACTTCTCGACTTAGGGTTTTCCGATTTAGTGACCTTTTATTCCAGAATGCCATCGGCGATCCTTACACTAAGTACGCTAAGTGACAGTCAATTGAAGATGTAATATAATTAAAAAACAAAGAATTTAGTGAGAAAAAGAAAATCTTTTATATACATGACATTTTATTAGGAAATGCTTCTTGCTTGTCGAAATACTAGTAATCTAACAGTACAAATTAAAACAATTGGATTTTTTTATGACTAGCAATACCTAAATCAATCCAAACGGCCTATAGCAATGACGTCAACGGCCAATTGAAAACACATGTAGAGCTAGCGAGATCGAAGATATATACAGAGGTTTTGACTTTTATGAATATCAATAAAATTATTTAAGGATTTCAGAATTTACACAAATACTGAACACTAATTTAAATGCAAATTCGATCAAACCTTTTTTAAACTGATTTGGAATGTGTAGTTTCAGAAATTATCGATACCCTCACCCCACCCCTTACCCCCTCGAAGAGGAATTTAATATTTCTGAGGAGTGGGGGCTCAAAGAAAGAACAAAATTACAGAGTTTGTATTGGAATTTTCGGTTGGGTACTACGTATTAAAAAAACTAATCCATAGGGATATGGATAATTTCTGGAACTACATAATCTCAATAAAATCAAAGAACAATCGTACGCGTATTCTGATTCTAAATCCATTTTTAATTCATCTTTCTTTTCAAGACTTTTAAATAGGTTAGTTGAGAGCACATGAAATAAATGCATGGTTAATCTGAGTCTGAACTATCTATTTGCATCCATGTCTTCACGGCCTTGCTATGGTCTTTGGCTGTCTTTTGGCTGCCGAGTTTGCATTCTGTATGAGGGCAGGAAGGGACTCTAAAATACTTGACATTTTCGATTTAGCTGTCTGTTTCCCCCTGTTGAATACAAAGTAAAAACAAAAATGACACACAAAAAACAGTAGAAGATAATATAGGTAAGTTGTAGTGCTTGGGAACGTTCCCAAGCACTACAACTTACCTATATTATCTTCTACTATTTCATTAGTGCCACGCGGTCCACATACTCTCATATACACACACAAAAAAAACAACAGAAAAGTTAAAGTCAATTATGTGACATTCGCTACCAGCATCGTACCTTTGGCTTTTCTTCCTCTTCGATTTCGCATCAGCTTGGTCTTTTGCATCATCACCATTCTTGACAGCACTCAAAATTTCCTCTCTGGATTGAGAGCCTTGGATGTTTGTATACCGCGTATCTTTTTTAAATATATCGTTCTCGGTGGCTTTCCAATCGCTGTCACTATCGATATCAAACTCACTTTCACTACTATGAAATTCTTGCTCGGCGCTAGTCTTAACTGCTTTACTGGTGGATGCAACAGTCGAAGCTTCTTGTACATGCCGAGAATCACTAAAGAGAAAATATATAAACGTTAGAATTTTATTTTTTAGAAGAACCTGAATTTCAAATTTTTTTTTCAAAATCACCTTGCTTTGTATAAAGACTTCTTAGCAAT